AAAGCAATTCCCTGATAACTGAGTCAAATGCAGACATAATATCCATGTAGTTTTCTCTTGCTATTTATTATATCAGTGGCTTGGACCAACAAAGGAGAAGCAAAACATTTTCCCTGGGTGAAACAGAAGAGTAATGCTACAGTAGTTACTACAGTCTCATTTGCTGCCTTTATATTTCCGAAGTGGTAAAACAATGCTTTTTTGCCATTTGGATAAGATCCACTCTGTTCTGCAGGTGATGCTGAGCATCATCACAGTCCCAAAAAAACAGCCGGTCCAACACTTTCTAAGAGTTTTGCAGGAATTCCACAGATTCCAGCCACCCTTATTTCTTTTAATCTTCTTTGCAATTCTGTGGCTGTCATCAGTAGCGAATATGACAGGATCATTTTATGCAGAATAGGTCAACTATCAGTGGCCTTACTGTCAAGGTCCAAAGAAATTGAGTGAAACATCCACTCCAACATGCCATTTACTCTGTTTCTATATCATTTTGCTGAACTGAAATGGAGTAGGTCATTCACTTGGTGTGTTCTTTCCTGTCAGTGAGGTCACACAAGTGTTTATAAAAGGAGACAAATCATTCCTGGCAGAAACTTTCTCAAGTGTGAAGGCTCTAGCCTTCATAAAAGCCTTTATTGCTTTGTCATGAATGCCATCTAGCTTACAAGGCATGTGCTGGGATGGCTAATATGAAAAGAGATTCAGAACTTCTTGGCTCTTTTATTGGGACCAATGATAGGTATAGTGGCATTGATTATCTGGAATTAAATCCATCCAGACTATCAGGGCTCGACAAATAATACAATCTCACCACGGGCAAGTAGATTGTAACCCGGAAGAGCTGGGTTCAGGCGATCTGTGCCTGCGCAGATCACCGGACAGCGCGGCTGGCGAGCGGGCCTCGCCGCAGTTCGGTGAGCCCTGCAGACTATTATGTCAACACAGTTACCTTTATCAATAACATTTATAATCTCAAAAAAATCCATAAAGTTAGGATTTATACATCCATGATGATTTGTACTAATTACATGACACTCATTTAGTTGTTCACTGAATCTTGTATCAGCCACTCCATTATTTTGCCTGGGATAGAGATCAGGTTGACAGACCTGTAACCTGAGTCATCCCTATTTACTCTTTTTTTTAAAATTGGCCTGACATAATATTTCTTCCAGTCTTCTGGAACTTCCCCAGTACTCCCAAGACTTATTGAAAATCAAAATTAATGGTCCAGCGAGCGAGCCACTTAGCCAAATCCTCACCCCTGCCCCCTCCTTCACCCCTCTAAAAAACAGTTATGCGACATCTCTTAACTGGTATTTTTCCCCCCAAGATGTGTTGTTCACGACCATTCAAAACAGGTGTGCACGTACTGTGTGCATGAAAGCTGAAGTTTTTTCCCTTAGGAGTATTCATAAGTGCGGCCTGGATGCCCCTTAGAGTCACACATTTATGTGACTTGATATAGGGCACTGCCCACCTGTCACCCCAGGTCTGTCTTGCCAGCCATTCTGATGGAGGGATAGGCAGGTGGGTATTGTAATAGACATGAACAACTTATGACAAAGAACAACAGTTACAAGAAGGTGAGTAACCATTTTTTATTCCAGTGCTTGTTCATGTCAATTCCAAATCAGGTGACTCCTAAGCCCAAGTTCAGGAGATGGGATCAGAGTTGACTACTGATTGGAGTACTGCTTTACCAAAGGCTGCATTATCTCTGGACTGCTTGGTAATTGCATAGTGTACAGCAGTGGTCACCAACCAGTAGATCGGGATCTACTTGTAGAATTTGGAGTCTCTGACAGGAGATCCTGACTGGTTTGGCCAAGAGGCTATCAAGTGCCGGTACTTTAGTTGTCCCTCCCTCCACTGCTGCGCACCTCCTGCCCTTTGCTTGGGAGCTTTCCCCCAGGAACCCCTTGCTTGTGGTACAGAGCAGGGAAGGGAGAAGAAGAGTGCTGATGTCAGGGTGCCCCTTCTTCCACCCTATATTTTATCTCCACAGAATAGGGAGAGGAGGACAACAGGGCCTGGGATGGAGGGAGTCTGCTGGCTGCTTTTGAGAGTGGTGCAGGGCCAGGGCAAGGGTGAGCCTGCCTTAACCCCTGCACCACCACCCAGGAGACACCTGTGGTAAACAGTGTCCAGCTGGAGCCAGCTCCGAACCCCTGCCCCAGTCATGTACCGCACTCTACACCCCAAGCCCCTGCCCTAGCCTTGAGCCCCCCCCTTTTCAGGCCCAAACTCCCTTACAGAGTTTGCACCCTGAACCCCCTCCTCCACCCCAACTCCCTGCCCCAGGCTCAGCTCAGAGCCCCCTCACACTCCAAATCCCTTAGCCCAAGACCAGAGCCTGTGACCCATCCCTCTGCCCCTGCCTGGTGAAAGGGAGGGAGGATGGGAGGACAGAGTGAGCAGGGGCAGGGCCTCGGAGAAGGGGCACAAAGGAGGCAGGGCAAGGGTATTTGGATTTGAGGTAGATCCTGGATTCCACTTAAATTCAAAAAGTGATCTCATGCTTAAAAAGGTTGGAGACCACTGATGTACAGTGTCTGAAATTATATATGGAGGACCTCGTTATCGTTCTGCATATTTCCTGGTGAAGAATACTGATACTACTGACACTAACCTGGATCTCAATGCCTGATTCTGACCCTTGGCCTGATAGTAAGCCCAAGGGCCACTGAGCTGGTGGACTGGCATTGAGGTCACTATGGCATAAGGGAGCATTCGACAAAGGCATTCCCTGTTGACTGATCCGCGTCTTGAGTCGCACGCTCTGCCAACGATCAGCTGAGCCAGCACAGCGCGGCGGCCATTTTTATTTTAATGAAGCTGGGGATATTTAAATCCCCACTTCATTGACTATGTCAGGTAGCCTATTTTCATGCCTCTGTCACCAGAGGCATATAATCTAGACGTACCCTTAGAGACTAACTATATATATAAAGTTTTAAGTATGGGAAAACCCCTATACTATCTATATCTATATTTATAGATATAGATTATAGATATATATGAAAGTCTACTCATTGTTTTTATTATTTTTAAAAGGTATCCAACTCCTTTCTCGTAACCCAAGCCAATAGTAATTGCTTATTTTTTCCTTACTGAAATAAGGAGCAGATATGTGGGGGGAAGGGGTTGTAATGCTCTAATTACTACAGGGGTTAATGCATTATTTCCAAATGCTATTAGCATAAAACATGTCCAGTATTATGATGATCAAATATGAGCATACATCCAGTCTTGTGCACAATGGTCATAAACATTTCAAGATCGCTGCTAGCGTTCCCTCTAATTTTTTCCATCTATGTGCGGAGTGAATTTTGTTATGTGCACTGAGGCATGGGCAGATGTGCCCCACCAGTAGAAACACATGCTGTGGACTTTAGGTACAGTGCTAATCAGCTGGGCAGCATTTGAATCTTTCCTGGGTCACTGTGCAAGGGCTCAGCTTACAGGGACCACTGATCACTCACTCTCTCTCACTGGCTACATCTACACTGGCATGATCTTGTGCAAAAACTCTTTAGCGCAAGAGTTCTTGCATTAAAGTAGTTGTGCAAGAAAGCATCTACACTGGAATGTGCTTTTGTGCAAGAGATTGCTTTTGCGCAAGAACATCCATGCCAGTGTAGACGCTCTCTTGCGCAAGAAATTCATGTTGCCTGTCTACACTGGCCTCTTGTGCAAGAACAGTTGCGCAAAAGGGCTTATTCCTGAGTGGGAGCGTCAGAGTTCTTCCGCAAGAAGTCCTGATTTCATACAGTAGAACGTCAGTTTACTTGAGCAAGAACACGTGACCAGTGTAGACAGGCAGCAAGTTTTTGCGCAAGAGTGGCCGCTTTGGCGCAAGATCCCACCAGTGTAGACACAGCCACTGTGTTTCAGGCACCTATTCTTTTGCAAACAACTTACCTTGAAAGATTCAGTCACTTGCTTTGTGGCTCCCCCTGCACATCCTCCAGCTATGCACTCATTTTGACAGCCCTGCAAGAAATAAAAAAGAGGAGATACCAAATTAAATGCATGTTGCAAAAAGGCAGATACCTAGTCCAGCAGTTCCCAACCGTCGGATCGCGGATTGTTGCTGGGCTGCGGTGGCTGCCGAAGCTCAAACCAGCTGTTCACGGCGGCTCAGCTCTGGCAACCATGGTGGCTGAGGCATGGCAGGAGGAGGTGGAGCCGGAGGTGCCTTCCTCCCTCCTCCGTGTTTGGGGAGGGAGGAGATGTGAAGGAGGAGGAAGAGCACACGCCGCCAACAGCCGCTCCCCCTGCCCACATGGCCGCTTTTGCCAGTGGCCGCGCTAGGGCTGAGGCGGCAGCAGGAGGCACCTGCGTCCTCCCTGACTTCAGTAATGGTGGCCAACTGGGGCTCCGCACCCCCCCCCCCCCCCCCACGGAAGCGCAAGACACACTTGGGGGGACATGAAGGAGGAGGGACCATGCATGTCACCAACGGCCTCTCCCTGTTTCCATGCAGCAATAACAGCCACACTCCCTAGTGGGGCAGCCTCACCTGGGGAGTGTTGGGGTGGGGGGAAATGGGTGATGGCATAGTGGGGTCACAGGGCAAGAGGGTGTTGGCATGGGCTGTAGGGGTCAGAGATTAAAGGGTCAAAAGGGCATGGTGCGTAGGGGTGGGGGCCAAAGGGTGTTAGGCACTTGGAAGCAATGGGCTGGGCTGGGGCCATTTTACTTGCACATTTGCACGTTCATTATTTGCCTAATGAATTATGCAAATAAAATGTTACCAGTCCACCAAAGGTTTGTGAATAGGTTTGCCAGTCTCTGGCATAAAAATCATTGGGAACCATTGACCTAGTCAATTCATATTTTGCATGACAAAATCAAAAGTATCAATCAGGAATCATCATCATCACTTTAATCAGAATAAGAATATTAGGCAATATCTTTAGCTATCGCTTTTGCACTGCATTTTCTACCATCCCCCTGTTCTGTTTTGTTTTTGTTTCAGTTGAATAATTTAATGCAACTGGATTTCGGAGCTTTAGCAAAACTGGTTAAATCCCACATTAGCCTTATATGTCTCAGGGTCACGGTTCAAGAATAAAAGTGCAATTGTTTCATTAAAAGCCGAATAAATACTTTGGGATTTTAAACAAATTATATCAGGTCACTGAATCCACTTTAGAGCCAGACACCTCAGCCTTGTGATTTCCTCTGTGCCTCTATTCAGTGTAAAATGACTTGGCAGGGGAGGGGACAAAAGACAGGGAGGAAGCGTTTTTTCCAAAGCATACTTCTTTAATAGAATGAGATAAGCAGTAATGAATGAAATTCACAAAAACAAATTAGCCATGAATATGTACCCTATTTTTCTTATAGCCATTGTTCATATCTTAAGGACTGCACAAATGAACGGGATTATTTATATTAGCCAGTGACTGAAGGAGGATGGTTCAAATTGGAAGAATAAGCAGACAGGTACATGACCCATGAAAGCAAATCATCTAGCAGAAGCATCCCATATCCTGAAAGCAGCTTCCATGTTGCTTTCTTAGCATCCTCTCCCTCCCTGTTCTACAGCATTCTGGTTGAAGACACAAAATGCACATTATACATAGCGGCACCTAGGGAAAGGCAAGTGGGGAATCGGACATGTCTTTCTGGCTTTGCTGATTGGAGCTAATCAGGACTTTCCAAGACAGTGCTGGAACAATTAAAGGATGCAAGAAGGTTTTCTGAGCAGGGATCACAGGAGTAGAATATTTGGTGGATGGGCACTCAGAAGTCTGTGATGCTGAAATATACAGGAGGTGAGCAAGGGAATAGCAGTAGAATGCACAGGGGGGATAAGTCCTGGACTAACTGAAAGATGGGCATTAAAAGGTTTCACTGCTAGAATGAATGTATGGGGAGGAAGGAGTTAAATGATAGAAAAGCGAGCAATACCTGGCAAGAGAAGGCATCAGCTGCTCCCTGTTCAGCTGTCAATGAGCTCGCCATGCTGCAGGGTGAGCACCTCTTGCTTTCTGAGGCACTCTCCAGCTCAGAATAAGAAGCAGCAGTGCAGCTACCAGCAGGGCTGAAAACCAAGCTCCCTAATCAACTGCAAATGCGAAGGCACTGCAAGTAACTGCATGAAGGAAAATTTAAACTGCAGCACTGCGATATCTGAGAGACCAGACTAGTGCCTGGGGGGCAAGGAGGTTACTACTATATGCTGATAAAATGCAAATTAGCCCACAATATTCTCTCAATATATCCACAAATTTCCATATTGCTCTTTTAGCAGATGATAATGATTATTCATTACAGTTATTAAAGGCAGAGACTGGTACCATTGTGTCTGGAGTTATGGTAATTGACATAAATAAGACATGAAGGAAGGAAGGGATGACCTGGGAAAATTTAAACCCCTGTAAAAACCAGGTGCAAGCAAAATCCTTCCTCATCAGATTGAAAGAGCCTTAAAATTAATCCTCAGTGGAGAGTCTCCCCTGCCCCAGATTTGTGAGACTTGGCAGAGCTAAGTGTTTATAACCTGTAGAATGTGTTTTGTATCACAGGAGCCACAGTTGTGAAAGACTATTAATTTCCATCATAAGTCTAATTTATTTATGGCATGTAATTCTGGGTATGTCTACACTGCAGAGCTTTTCTGGGAAGGAACGCATCTGCTTTCGGAATATTGGAAATTTCAGAAAAGCAAATGCGTTTTTTCAGCATCCCTGTAGTCTGCTTTCGGAATTTTGGAAATTTCAGAAAAGCAGATGCGTTTTTTCAGCATCCCTGTAAACCTCGTTCTTGAGGAAGACGGGATGTTCCAAAAGATGGGGTTTTTTTCCGACATTTGGCCCCGTCTACATGGGGCCAAATGTTGGAAAAGCCTCTTTCGGAAGAAAAGCGGAAAAAGATACACAAAATGCAGTTCGCAATTTGCGTGTCTTTTTCCGACTTTTCTCTGCAGTGTAGACACACCCTCTGATCCAAATTTGCTCTGAGCTGCATAGAAGGACCCAACCCTTCTCCCTTGTAGCTATGTGAGTTGGATAAGGTACAGTCTAGCTAGCCCATTTAATTTGTATGGACACAGGAGAGGAGCCCAAGTACGGGACCAGGATAATCATTTTAGTGCAGCTAATGTGCCAGGTGCTTCAGGCAAAGAGCACTGAACAGTGAAGAACAGCACAGTGTGTGTCACTGAAGCACAGAAGATGCAGGAGAGCTTAGAAGTGGAGAGGCTAATACAGTGATGATCTTTCACTTTTTTAGGTCTGTGGTTTGTTTGTGGATTAGATCACAAGTGACAGGGGTGTGCTGCTTTCCAGTTAGCCCTTAATGGAGGACAGTCTTCAACAAAACCATCCCCATGTGTCGCGAGAATCACAGGTCCGATGATGCATACCCAAGGGGGGAAGGACAGAACCAGGTGGACAGTTTTATCAAATAAAAAATATTTATAACAGTGATGAATTTATAGTATTTATTCTGAGATTTTTAATAGACCGTGTTAATAATGAATTTACAGTATTTATTATATTTATTCTATGATTTCTAGTTAAACGTGTCAGAGATATAAGGATGGGAATGGCGAGGGGAATAGTCTCTGTTAAAAATATCCAGCTACACTAATTAAATAACAGTGATAACTACAAACTCTATGTACTACCCAAAACAACTACAACACTAAGCTTATACAACAAGAAAAATCAAATCATACATACCAACTTACACAGCACACGGAACATTTCAAAGATATCGGTTCGGTTGCGAAGGCCTTGGTTACGCCCGAGAGTCGGGGGAGGTGGCTGCTCAGTTGATCTAGCCGGCAGCTCTTTGAAGTATACGGGAAGGCACACGCACGGTGGTACGTGTGTTGCGCACACGCACGGTGATTCGTGTGTTGAGAAGACCTCCTTGAGCGAACTGTGCCGATGGGTATTTATCCCCAAATCTGCACATCGCTTTCCCGTGCTTGCATATTACCATATATGGCCCAATGGTCACCAAGTGGGGGGTCTGTGTCCCAGGGATTGGGCCAAAACTGAGCAGGTTTCATGCAGCCAGGTAAGCCCCGCAGTTCTCACGCCAAGGTGACACAGGTGGGAGAGTCTGAGGCTATTGTCCCCATTTCACACCTTCCCTTTTTCTAAAGGCAATGGTATGCAGGAAGGGTGCGGCCGGTTTCTCCCAAGGAGTACTGCAGCCCACTATAACAAAAGCGGCCTGGCCAAACTTTTTACTGGGGGAGGCAGTTTTTTCTCTAACACCATGGAGCTCAGGAAGCTTGTAGCTTCATCTGCCCCAATAACTCCATAACCTCCCTTTTCCTCATCCATAACTGCCTCTCTCTATTCTGCTTCCCTCTCCTCTAGCACGCTGCAGCTTTGCCATGGAATTATGGGTCACACACTCATTTAAGATCAGTTAAATGACAACTACCGATACTCTACAAGAAAAATCTCATAATGGGAGAAAAATGGCACATCACCAACCCCACTACTAGCCCTGGCCAGACAGGCAAGCAATCTGACCCCGGAGGCTTCTATCGAGATCTAAGTTTTGATTTCCTGGGACCGCACCTGCATGTTCCTGCAGGAGAAGTGAGGCGGGGACGTTTCTGCTCCTGGTGTCCCTCAGGAAGCAGGTAAGAGAGATGCAGGAAGATGCAACTCATCTGCATAGCATCTGGGACCATGAGGGCTTCATTGACAGGAAATACATGAGGTCACCTGGAACCGAGGATACAGGCCAACCATGGATGGCTACAGAAGCACCAAAGAAGAACAGAGAACTGGCTGCTCTGTAAGAATGATTTGATGTGTGGCTGCCTTGTGCAGCACCACAGGGTTTCACTCCTGCATCCAAGTCTCCTTGGCCACTGTAGTCAAGAGCCACTATGCTGAACTGGCAACAGGAGGAGAGGAACAGACCCTAATAGCTGAGCAGGAGCCACCTCCTTCCACATCTGGGAGGCTCCTGGGCACTCAACCCAAGAGGAGGAGATTACCACCCTGACTCAA